ATTAAGATCCAACCGATCGCACACACGGCAGGAACACAGACTGAGTCCTCTCTCTATTCATCCCTCCTCTGCCTTGCACCCCACACCTTCCACACCTGGCGGGCACTTTCTGGCCGTATACTCCATACACCGGCATCGTGGAGCAATACGTACTGGTCAACCCGATCCTCCATTAAGGCCGCCCTTCGTCCAGTTCCTGGATTTATATGTAAGTGCACCACCTTTTTTCCCCTTTTTTGACATAGAGACAGGTAATCTTTAGAATATACACCATCAAGGTTATTGCGCCCTTGTGTGTTCTTATTATAAGAATTACACACACACACTATCTTTCTTCCGCCTGTTGGGGGCCCAGAGAGGAAGAAGAGGGCCCCTCCGAGATAGTGCCACTCCTTTCTCGCCGATCTGCCACCCGCAGCATGTATTGGCAGCTGTGCAGGGCTGGAGAGGCTGTCACTTGTCCAGCAGAATGTGCTGCAGGCACCACCGGGCAGCACATTCTGCTGTGGGAGAAGACCCTCTCCACCTAGTCCCACCCCCTGTGTGCCGAGACAAGGAAGAAGGTGCTGTTAAGGTGCTGGAAGTCAGGTCAGGTAAGTCTGGACCGGGAAGGGGGCGCAGAGAAAGGGGGGGGGGCTGAGAAGCTGGTGGTATTCTGTATTACTGATTTTCATTATAATGTATTGCTGGGACTTGTAGTCCCGAATAGCTGGTGGTATTCTGCATTGTTGTATGATGAGTATACAGTAATGCAGAATAGCACCAACTATGCGAGGCTACATGTCCCAGCAATGCATTATATTATTAAGTATGGATGACAAAGTGACAATACTGGGCATTTTCACGAGTACTCACACTAATGCCCCTATACTAAGCGCAGATACTGGTGTTCTGTTGAGAATGATGCCATTTGGATCATTGTAAATGTATTGTTGCAGGCACTCTATATGTACATGTACTATATACTACATATAGAGTGCACTGAACAATATATTTACAATTATCCTCTGCTAATATGAATGGGTTAAATGATCCGTAGTACATAATATGTAGCCCTGTACCCCCTTCATGGTTTCTTGCATCTGGGCCCTGAAGGTTCTAGTTATGCCTCTGGCCTTGAGCAAAGAGTGTTGGAACTTGTCTGGCAGCTCCCTGGTTGTGGTCCTTGCTATTGCCCCACTAGTGTAAGGTGCATTGAAAGTTGTAGGCGTAGCTAAAACCTGGCCAAAAGTAGGGATAGATTTCTGCCAGCCAATGGTGCTAGGTGTGTGCATAGGCACAGCATATACGACTCCAGGAAGACACCAGTAAGGTAACTGGTGAGGAATCTCACATATCACTGGCCTCTAATAGGAGGTAAGTAAGCGAGTGCCTTCAGTTTGTTGCAGATTTAGTGGATAAACAATGACAGGTAACCCCATTTTTGTCTTAAAACCTGACTGGCTTAGAGGAGATGAATCACCAAGGGTAGTAAATCATGATACATCTTCTCTCTGCCAATATATAAATGTGTATGAGCCCCATTTTTTCACCCCCCAAAAAACAATCTATTTTGGCATGTTTGACATTTAGCTATTCCCTACCCTATCCAAAATCCAGATTTTGAATTCCCACATACTACCATCAGGCCAGCTGACACCCGGACACAAGACACTAAGTGCCGATACTGGCACTTTAAATTTCTTGACAGATGCGGCTGCCTGAGGTCCCCAGCTGCATCTGCCTGAATCGTCATCTTGTGAGCCGGGCGCCTGTAAACAGGTACAGGCCGGCCCGCACATCTTCTCATCCTTCTCCGGCTCCTTCCTGATAGCATGCTGCCTGCCTCCAGACCCCAGGTGAGACCTCCGCACTTCCCACACAGCCACCTGAGAGCCAGCATAGCCCACCTGAGAGCCTGCATAACTCACCTGAGAGTCCGCACTGCCACCTGAGAGCCCATGGAATCTACCTGAGAGCCCTCACAGGCCACCTGAAACCCTGGAGACATCAGGACACCACCCCAGTACACAGAGTATGTAGCTTCATATTATTTTGTATTGCTGTATAATGTGTTGCTGGGATTTGTAGTCCTCTATAAACTGTCTCCTTACTCCCTCCCCTGGCTGGCTCTTCTTGCCCTTTCTCCTGGCTTCCTCTCCTCTATATTCCCCCGCCCCCCAAATAAAAAATTGTGTTCTTGTGTTCGGGTTTCACTTGAAGAAAAGGTGGCAACCTTAGTTAGTATCCTTGAAACGCAAAGTAACAGATTCACCATCTTTTGCTTTCCCACTAATCAGATTGGCTGCCAGGAGCTAAGTATACCTAGTATAATCACAAGGGCATTGAGAAAGGAGGGAAAGGAGATTCCTAAAGCTGGCCATACACCTATAGATTTTCTGCAGATTTTCTACGGTCAGATGGAAAGAGTGCAACAGATTCCTCCATCTACGCTAAACTGTGTGGATGGAGGAATTTCCCGCTGGGCCAAGCTTCAGTATCTTGCTAGTCGGCCCCGCTGGCTCTCAAAACACCTGAACAATGCCTGCATCCAATCAGATTATTCAGGTATTTTGACAGCCAGTACAGCTAACTAGCAAGATACTGAAGCTTGGCCCAGCGGGAAATTCCTCCATCCACACAGGTTAGCGTAGATGGAGGAATGTTGCACTTTTTGCATCTGACCATAGAAAATCTGCAGATAATCCATAGGGTCTATGGCCAGCTTAAGTCATAGCTAATATACACATCCACACATAAAGTCTTATATACTCCCAACCTCCAAAAGCATACCAAATGCATAGGCACCCAAAATCATTGAATTTTAATTGACGTGTTTGGCGTGCGTTTATTGACACATCCAGGCTCATTGGGTGTGAATGGCCCAGTAAATTCATGGAAAGGAAAGAGAAAAAGGAGAGAGAAATAAAAATCAAACATGAATGTCTTTATATGCGTTTGCATGTGTCTACATGCGTTTGTGCTGCAGTGACATTTTTTTTGCATTGCAGAAAGGTGGGAACTACATCCATTTACATTTGTTGATTTCGGGTGTCTATGCGCTTGGTACGCGTTAATTAACACATCCAAGCGCCCTAAATATTTAACCCTGTTTCCCAACCGCTGCTCTCCAACTAGTCTTTGGACCAGCATTAGCGGGTTTATATTTTATTTTGATCTTGTGAAGCATTTTCTGTGCTGCATGGGTTCACTTTGTTTGAGGGGATTACTCCTACGCCTACCATTTTGGAGGTTGGGAGCGTATAAGACTTTATACGTGCAAATTTATTTTAGCTATATGACTAAGGCCCAGTGTTTGGGATGAAACGTGTAAACTGTTTTGCTGTTTTTATGCCAAATTAAAATAAAATGATATTTGGAGAAGATCCCCGTCCATGTGCTGGTGTTTTAGCGTCTCAATCTATGTATGCTGCACCAGGTGCGGCCAAGATGCACTTAATTACCCAATAAAAACAAAATGCCACTGGAGGATATGGCCAATGAAAGAATAGCAGCATCGCCGTGCAGCCAATAAGCAAGCTGCCTTTGATTTAAGTACTGGAGGGTTAGGAGGTGTATATTGAATAAAGGAGAGTTGTGAAGGCTTCCTAGGTAAGGTGGAGGATGGTGGTGGTTTGGTTTCATGGGTCCTAAGGGTTCCCCAGTGAGTGAGTGAGTGAGTGAGTGAGTGAGTGAGGTAGAGGCCCAGACCTGGCTGGTGGTGGCTGCTGCCTTTACATGGAGGGGGAGGTGGCTCTGTACCTGGTGCAGATTAAATAAGAATTTCAACCCCCCTCCCCTACCTCAAGTTATGCTGCCATCTTAGAAAAGTTATGGCATGTGTGGACATGGATTCCAGCTGGGTACCATGAACTTGCCAGAGATTGTTAGCATGTCTGTGCATGCTTTGGATCTGCTGCACATGTGCAAACTGCTGTTTATCCTGGCAGAGACCCATAGTGGTTGGTATGTGTGGGTATCTATCTAATCTTTGGGACCTGGTAGAGGACTGTGGTCTGTGTGTGGACATGCTGTCAGTCCCTATCAGAGACCTGTGCAAGATCAGGTAAACTGTCTCTTGAGATGTGTTGTGTAGATGGTGAAGACAAAGTACATTTTAAAAAGACAATTTTGCAACTTTGGAGCCCAGTTGTCCATGGTAACCCATCTAGCTTTTAATTTTTAAAGCTTACCTGAAAAGAGAAACTGCCATGGGAAACTGCTCCAGATTCTGTCTAATACAGTTTTGATAAACCTCCCTCCCACCAGTGTATTTCCACTTTGCAGCCTGATTGATAACACCGCCTTTTACCTGTGATCTGTTCCCATTCACTTAGTATTTAAATATGCAAGTTTAGGTTTTACTAAAATAAGCATAAGGTTGTAATATGAAACCTGGTCACAGGATCTGTGAATGGAGGGACACAGCAGCAGAGGGACTTGTAGTCTTCATGGAGTACAAGTGTGGCTATGTCCCCATGCTTGTACTCCATTCATATTTCCTGTCACTTAGCTGAAAGTCCATACCTCAGTGCAGGCAGGGGCTTGGGAGGGAGTCTGCAGTAGCTAAAGCATTGCACCTGTGATCCAATGCTCTGTAGGCTCAAATGTGTTCATTTGAATAGTTGACTTGGAGAAGCTTGCAAAGGCTTATTATAGATGCAACTAAAAGGTACAAAATGTTTTTTACAATTTTTTTTTTTTACATGTGATGTGTGACTAGGAACACTTAATCATAGTGAGGGTTTTCTCAAATGTGTCTGGAAAAGTGAAAATGTGCTTTTAAATCTAATGACTGCAGTTGGTCAACACAATTCAGTGCACAGGCCTTCCAGGTTTGCAGAAAATTGAATGGCACCACATGGTTCCTGGAAGGTAGTATGAGAATCGCTTGTGCAGCCTGGTTGCATGGAATGTTCTGTGAAAAGGAGGATTTTAGATTCAGTTTTTTATGAAAACTATGCTTGTGAAACACGTCCTAACTTCTTGCAATTACATCACAGTTCTAAATAAAGTGCAGCATGGCAACTGTGGTATTTGTCGACCAAGAAAATGGAGACTTTGCTTCTACCCCCTTGTTCAAGGATCTTGAACAAGCTAACTCTGGTGAGTAGTCTGATGGCCTATGACTTCCGATTGTCAAAGTAATGCACACTGGGATTGCTTGTCAGCAGATAATTGCTGGGAAATCTCATTTGTAATCTCATGAGATCTCAAAGAAAGGTATTTTCCTCCCCTGCATTGTCACATGTGCCAGGACAAGTAAGAGCTAAATCTGCCCTGAGCATGGCCACTGCCAGAATACTGGGGAAGCAAAGAAATTGGGTATGCACATTGCATACCTGACATGTCTGTCAATAAATGGAAAAGAAAATGGGGACGTCTTTGTACTCCATTCATTGAAGGACACAGCACCTGCCTCCATGTTTGCTTATGTGTGATGCTTGCTACCAAGTAATTTGTCATCCCCCCCAGGTGTTTGGCCATCAACTGATCTGACCCACATATACTGGTCTTTGTGGACTCTAATGTGGGTCATACCAAAAGGGATCCGGCAGTTGGATCATCTGATCATATTGTCAAAGATTTCAATAAACCAGGTTTCTTGTCCCTTTTTAGACTTTCATAAGTATACTACAGGTATGTTTTATGGAAATGAGACAACTAGACCTAGGTCTTATTTTCGGGGTAGGTCTTACTTTCGGGGAAACACGGTATTGGAGGGGTTCAGCTATAAAACAAGTTTTAGTTCATGTACACAGGAGTTTGGCCTGTGGCAGTCCAATAAAGGGTTAATAACTTTGGGAGTGGTCAGTAATTATTAGTGATGCACTTGGTACCGAGTACCAATGCATCAACTGACATGGAGCCAGTTTCCTTGGCAATCAGGAAGCTGGGTGGCGAGTAATGACATGCCTCCTGGCTTCCTGATTACCTGAGAAGCCAGCCCCATGTTTGGCTGGCTCGATTGTGAGGGGAAACTGGCTTCGCAGCAAATTGGCATCGAGCTGACACTTGTGAGCATTTATAAGGGATCATTCGCCTCTTTGCTTTACTTGCCCGGCTCTTCATCCCCTCTAAGCACCCTCCAGCCTCCCCCCACCCCCCGCGAGCCATGCCTTCTAAAAGCTGTGGAAAGTACAGGAAGACTCCTCTGCAAAAACCTGCGACTCCAATATAGTGGTGCTGCCTTGGATCCTCAGTCGTTGTCCTCCCCTTCCCCTCCTTTCTTGAAGATCAGGACTCCATCTCTGTACAGCATGCTCTCCTCACCCACACATGGGGAAGCTGAACCCCAAGACTATGCTCTGCTGTAAAAAAAAATATGTTCCATGCTGCAAAAAGAGCTGACAGCTGCCACTGATTGTCTGACTGTTCATCTCGTAAGGGAAATCAGAGATTGGCTCTCGCATGGTGCCAGGAAGCCAGCTTCATGCTGATTGGCAAGGGAGCCAGCTTCCCAGCCAATCAGGAATCCAAGAGGCAGGTCATGGAGTTTGCGCGCCCCTGCTTAACAGTCCCTTTTAAGTAGTCTGTAGCAGAAGGGTTAAGTGCAGATTTTGTTTAACTTTTTTTTTTTAGTAATCTAGGAAAAGTGTTTGGCAGCTCTGGAACTGTGGTGAAGCCAAGAAAAGCTCTGGGAAATATCAACAAGCAAGTTGCCACAGCTGCTCCGTTCCAGAAAGGTGCCCTTAAAGTGAAGACATCTGCACCAGTTACCAAGCAGGTACTATTGTGCTGTGAATCGCTGGAGCATGCCTATTGAACCAAAACTTACTGGAGCCACTGTAAAGCTGGCCATATGACCATAGATTTTCTATAGGTTGTTTGTTTTTTTTGTTTTCCTTCTATTGGCAGATGGAAAATGCAACAGATTCCTCTATATACATTAAACTGTGTGGATGGAGGAATCTTGTGCTGGGCCAAGCTTCAGTATCTTGATAGTCGATCCCACTGGTATTACATTACCTGAACAATCTGATTGAATGCAGGTTTTCAGGTATTGAGAGCCAGCAGGGCTGACTAGCAAGATACTGAAGCTTGGCCCAGTGGGACATTCCACCATCCAGTTGTAGCTGGAGTAATCTGTTGCACAAGGCTGATAGAAAAAAAATCTATAGGTGTATAGTCGGCTTAAGGCTTGTTTGCCCTTAGATTTCCAGTCTGACAACAGTGTGGGCAGATCTCCAAACTGTGATCAACAACCATGGCAATAGTCTATACCCTTTCCCACACTTTCTAACTATTTTCCTGGAAATGTTCCTAAATGACCTGAGAAATAGTGGGTGGCCAATTTGTGAGTTTAAAGTTTAGGCATAACCATGTTATGTGTCAACATGTGGTACTGTATGTACTCCTAAATTTTTCAACTGCACTACAATGCCGATGACATCTCAATGCATGACACTCAAAATCTATCTTTCTACTCCACAACTCACCCCCTCAGTGTCCTCTCGTGTCACTAATCTACTAACTGACATATCATTCTGGATGTTGCAACACTTCTTAAAATTCAATCTTTCAAACACTGAGCTCTTGATCTTTCACCTGCCTGTGCACCTTCCCCAACTTTTCCTTTGAGATTAACACATCCATGCCAAGGTCCTAGGTGTCATCCTTGACTCAGACCTCACCTTTCTTCGCCACATCCAATCACTATTCAAATTCTGCCGCCTTCACCTCCGTAACATCTCCAAAATACACCCCTTCCTCATCAAAGAAACCGCAAATTACTCATCCACCCGCTTGTTATCTCATCTTGACTATTGCAACTCCCTCCTCATTGGCCTTCCACTACACAGGCTATCCCCCCTTCAGTCTATCATGAATGCAGCTGCCAGACTCATTCACCTAACCAACTGCTCAGTGTCTGCAACCCCCCTCTGTCAATCCCTGCACTGGCTTCCAATAGCCCAAAGGATCAAATTCAAAATAACAATCCGTTACAAAGCCATCTACAACTCCGCCCCCGGCTATATCTCAAACCTGGTCTCACCCTAACTGTCGGCTCCGCTCATCCCAAGACCTCCTGCTTTCCAGCTCCCTTGTCAACTCCTGATCATGTGACTGCTGACAAAGCATGTCCAGTCGGAGCTGGTAGCATGGGATTAGGATCAGTCAAATGTGTAAATTGCATAATAAAAATACTCTACTTGCTAAACGGTTATTCTTGATCAATTTCAGATTTCTAAGGTCTGCATTAAGACTAGCAAACAGAGCTATCCTGAGATTGAGAAGTGTCTCCCTTACAATCCTGCAGGTGAGTTTTTGAATTTTATGTTCACGTTTTAGGTTTACCCCTTGATGGGTTTTTCTAAAGCTTGTGCTGTAACTGCTAGAGAAGCTTTGTTTGAAGTTCTACCTTTTGTCTTTGAAAGTTGGGCTGGACAGACTGGGACTGATGGATGACTTACTGTGGTGTGATTGTCTTTTGTCTAGGGAAGCTAGATGGTCTGTGATTTAAGTAATCTTGCAAATACTGCCTTGCTCAGTAATGAGCAACAGGAGGTTCTTGGTATAGCAGTCATATCTTGTATTTTTTTTAATTCCTAGATTTTGAAACCTTTGTCCCTGAAGAACACAAGCTGAGCCACCATGACCTTTCTGGAGTTCCCCTTATGCATGAACACGAAGCTTCAAAGTTTGATGCTTGTTGGCCCATGAGCCCGCTCCAATGGATATTCCAGTCATTAGCTGGGAGTCAGGTTGGTTTCTAACCGTAATAGGACTTCATACTTGTGCTCCATGTCCTGTGACCAGCTTTGCTTCAGGGAACTAGAAATGCACACCAAGAGTGTCCTAGTTCAGAACATGTCAACTAATAATTGGCTATGGTTCAAGTCAAGTGATGCAACTAGCCTTGCTCTTGGCTAAATGACAAATCACAAGGTTTAAGTCTCCACAGTGTAAGGATAACTGTACTTGGACTATGGTTAAGTAGGCAAAACAAATCAAATGGTTTTTTGACATTTGCTTCCAAGTGTGTGGGGGTTATTTTTCTTAGGCTCTGTATGCTAAGTGGATGTGTACTCAAAAGGTGGGGGGGATATACTAAGCTAGTCTATAAAGTTATTCTAGTCTAGCAGAGTCAATGTTCATGGTTTTCCACACCATACAGCCAGGTATTTGGAAGTGGGTTTTTATTTTCTGATTAAAAAAAACTACTCCAGTCTTTAGTAGGTATCTACTCACTCATGGTCAACTTGCACGGCCAAGACTTAACATTGCATATACACTATTGCAAAAAGTATTGGGAAGCCTGCCTTTACACACGAACTTTAATAGCATCTCAGGCTTAGTCCGTAGGGTTCAATATTGAGTTGGCCCACCCTTGGCAGCTGTAACAGCTTCAACTCTTCTGGGAAGGCTGTCCACAAGGTTTAGGAGTGTCTATGGGAATGTTTGACCATTCTTCAGAAGCCCATTTGTGAGGTCAGGTACTGATATTGGACAAGAAGGCCTGGCTCGCAGTTCTCTAATCCCAAAGGTGTTCTATCGGGTTGAGGTCAGGACTTTGTGCAGTCCTGTGCATTGTGCACTTGTGCAGTAATGTTCCAACAGGAAGGGGCCATCCCCAAACAGTTCCCACAAAGTTGGGAGCATGAAATATGTCAAATGTCTTGGTATGCTGGTCCCTTAACAGTTCCCTTCACTGGAACTAAGGGGGGGCCAAGCCCAACCCCTGAAAAACAACCCCACGCCATAATCTCACCTTGGCACAAAATGCAGTCAGGAAAGTACTGTTCTCCTGGCAACCGCCCGACACATCCATTGGATTGCCAGACAGAAGCGTGATTCATCACTCCAGAGAACACGTCTCCACTTCTCGAGTCCAGTAGCGGCATGCTTTACACCACTGCATCTGATGCTTTGCATTGCACTTGGTAATGTAAGGCTTGGATGCAGCTGCTCAGTCATGCAAGCTCTCTATGCCAATCTGAAGGCCACATGAGGTTTGGAGGTCTGTAGCTATGGACTCTGCAGACAGTTGGCAACTTCTGCACACTGTGCTTCAGCATGCGCTGACCGCTCTTGGTCATTTTACATGGCCTACCACTTTGTGGCTGAGTTGCTGTTTGCAGTTGCTTCCACTTTGTTATAATACCATTTAACAGTTGACCGTGGAATATTTAGTAGCAAGGAAATTTCGCAGATGGACTTAATGCACAGGTGGCAACCTAACATGGTACCATGCTTGAACTCGCTGAGCTCCTTAGTGACCCATTGCACATGTTTTTGTAAAAGCAGTCTGCATGCATAGGTGCTTGCTTTTATACAGCTGTGGTTCATTGGAACACCTGAATCCAATGATTTGGAGGGGTGTCCCAATATATTTGGCAATATACTGTATCTGAGGTTGTCTGCAGGGCAGCAGTGAAGATCCCTAAACTAGCCAAGATAAGTAAGATGGGGTCAGAAGCACTGAGGGGTGGTTAAAGGCTGTGGATGACCATTTGTACTAGTACAGTTGTACTTTTATCTAATCTCGTCCTGGTGGTAATGCTCTGAACTTTGTATCAAAATAAACTTTCTTTCCCCCCCCCAGATATTTCAAGCGCACTTGCATCTTTCCTGGCAGCCCTTGATGATTTTGCACTTGACCTGCCCCAGATGGTGAACTGTTGACATGGGTTTTAATTGTTCCTTATGGCTTTTAATTTGTATGTACATAATTTTAAATAAATGTTGACATTATAATCTAGAATGGCCTCTGTGTGAACATTTCAATGGTTGGGGTGCTTGCAGCTCTTGCTTTTGACTCTGCCCCATGACAGTGGTTATGACTGCCTGACACTTTTGACTCTGCCTAGAAATTGACACTTCCTAAGACCATTTTATGACTTGTCTGGCACTGCCTGTGAATCTGCTAAAACACTGGCTCTGTCATGGACTCTGCTTATGACCTGTCAATGACACTGACCTATTTCTGGAACTAGAACCATTTCTATCACCTATGACAACTTGACTAAGTCTAAGAGAATTCATTGCCTGTCTATAGCACGATGACCCTGCATCATAGCCAGTGATATTTAAAGGCAGGCTGTGTACTTTGCAGGAAAGTCCCCCTTTGCACAGTGTCACTTTACCACATTCGCCAAGACTAAATTGTTCAGGACCATTCAGACAACTGGGTAATAGCTATGAGGCAACTGTATGCTGGCTCGAGCTTTGAGGACCCTCCTAAAACACCCAGTTATCAGCCAGTGTCGGGTGATGAGACTCAAA